CACGATTCATTTAGAATACAGTTGGCTGATTTTTTTAACAAACCAATAGGTTAACTAACCAAATGGCTTCTAATTGACAAAAAATCAGCATGGGATTTCCGGGAAAAAAAAACTCTCAGTGACTTCAACGTTTCGGCTGTTTGTACGACAGTGGAGCACTCAGAAATAGAACGGGAAAAGAGAAGCAAAAACAAAGTAAAAGGCATCGAGATATATCGCCTCTATTTCGAATTGAGCGTACGCAAAAAATGTCTACGTGGGAAAAAAAATGCAAAACACAGCACCGATAAAGTTGTGCCCTTAACGTATTAAATCCTCCGCCACCTTCCCTCCTCCCTCTTCCGTTACCAGCACTAGCGGAAGCAGCTAAAATAAAAAGCGAAACATCGGATGCAATTCAAAACCGTCCGCGACAAAAAAAAAATGAAACAAAACAAGCGATGGAAAAATTAGAAATTATAATACCTAACTAGAAACAATACAGTGCATTACTACCCTGCACAAAAATAAAAATAGAAAACGATTACTGAATTTCACCACATTCAAAAGGACGCCATATTCAAAAGGCTGCATCAATAGAGCATTCGCAATAAATTAAGACTTTTTCAATCGTCCTTAACTTTCACAAGTCTAAACTGCTTCCAGAAATATCGAAAAATGATCTAAAAATTTTCAGCTTCCAAAAAGCAGTTTTTTCCGATGTAGTTCTACCGACAACATTCCCCTGGCCAAATACTGAACAATAGCTTCGATACAAGGGCACTTCTGCAGGCAGAACTGTATGCAGAATAAACGAAACGAGAAACGAAATATCAGAGGAAAAATTGACTAACGCTAATAACAAGCTGATACAACAGAGGAACCAAATGGAAAACATTACGAAAGAGAGTACCATTGGGTTATGAGGCATTATTCTTCATTTTCATTACAAGAATGCGCTGAAGAGCCCCATTTATGACGCCAAGATATATTCAGCTCAAAGAATCGAGAGAATTTAACTCGGCAACTCTCATGGTCGTCTCCCCTCAGACAGTCTCTTTTTGAAACAGACGTTAGAACTGTTCAAATTAAAATTAACACGAACTCTAAATTCCTTACCAAATAAGATTTTTGAGCAAACGAATATAGACAATTCGAAAAAGACAACAATACCTATGAAGTATCAAATCAAAAACAGAAAAAAAAAAACAAAGTGCATTCACTACATCAAATATTATGCTTCTGGAGCCCGTTTAGTGAGACTAATCTCCAAATCTACGCAACTAATCCACAGAGAATGCAGCAAACTGTTTACGAAGCTTGCTTGCACTATGTCGCTCATCGAGAACATCCAGACTTTCAATTCTGCTCTTTTCAGAGACATCGTTTCCCCTGAAAGCAATCAATTTTATGTGAAATTCCACATCCTAGGCTCAGCACATTAATTCATTGATTTAATTCTCTTTTACTGCACAAACAAAGTCGTAATGTTAGAGACGGCTGTTAGGTGGATTCGGCCAATTCTGCGCATTCTATTTGTACAGTTGGAAACTTGCATAC